GAATGGTTGGCTTGGTGATAAATTCGAAAGTTTTCTACGTAAATTCAGTACTAGCGCTACGCGAGGCAGACTGGTTGGTTCTGCCGGAATGCGTGTTGTTTCGTTTCTGAAATAATTTTTTCTATAGCTGTCTTGCAAGGAAGGTTGCCAAAGATGCTAGACAAGCCCGGTAGGTAACAGGATCGGGTTCAAGGTCAACTGATGCAAGATCAGTAACAACCGGCTCAACAAGACAAGGATCCTGGACGTGTTCCTCGTCAAGGGTACCATGTCGGCTTTTGGTCTCTAGGTCAACAACGGGATCAGGCTCAAGGTTGACCGATGCAAGATCAGTAACAAACGGCTCAACAAGACAAGGGTACGGGGAATGTTCCATGTTTGCCTTCAGGCTCAAGGTCAACTGATGAAAGACCAGAGACAAAAGTCTCAGCAAGACAAGGGTATTGAGTATGTTCCTCATCAGGGGTGAGACGTTTGGCATGATGACTATTCCATTGCCTATTATTGGACAAAGTCGGATAGTTATTAGCATCTAGTTTAGTGCCCCGATCAAATTCCTCAGCTGGTGAACGTCGAGATGGCTTGGAGACGAGAGGCTGTGGGATGGTGCGGCTACAGAACACAATGAATGCGCTGGTGGCCCTGTATGTATCAAAATCATCAGGGTCAATGAGGACACAGTTAGTCAGGGTGACTGGGTCCTTCAGCATAGTTTCTTGGTGGTAGACGTAACCACGGATCCCATGAAGATATGCCTTGAGCGGTTTTGGAACATCCCAAAGTACATCAGGTTGGGGGTCACCATTGGCGTCACGTGGCTGACTGACAGGATACTGTAGATTGTTAATATTAGCAGCATCCATGCCAACAAGATCAATGACAGAATTGTATCAAGAACAGGTTTTGTGATACGGACCAATACGATTCGTATGTTAGCGGTCGTATGGGTCTTGTAGTAATTAATAGTAAAATAGATATAATGACGTGTCGTCGGATGAGAACAGTTGGAACTTTGCGCATCAAGCGCATCAACTGTTCGTCAATTCCCGATCGACTCATCGCATCCTGTTTTGTTTACCTTGAATTGATATCTTATCTTCTAGTGTAATCTCGAGCGTTCCCCCAAGAATAATAATATTCTGTCAGATTAACAGTCGCAGTTACGCACCATCAGCTAACTGCCGCGATTTCCCCATCAGAGATCGCCCACTTCGTATCCCATCAGAAGACGAAAACACAACAACTTGCGGATCGGATTTCACAGCGTTTTCGCAAGTTATTGAGCACCCATCAAGCTCATATTCTCGCAGTCACGCACACAGCTGACTGCAGCGATTGTCCTTCAGAACTTCGCTGATCTCGTCTCCCAACAAAGACGAAGACAATCAACATTTCCGAATTCGTCTTCCCATCAAAGACAAAAAATACAACAACTTGCGAATCGATTTTCTTCAGCGCCTCGCAAGTTCTTTTGGGCTACCATCAGGCCCATCCTCTACCACCGTTCGAATTGAATAATTCTTTGGGGTTTTTCATACCCATACTTTTCAGTTTCAGCGAAGAACTCGTCAACGATTGGCAATGAGCTATCTAAGATAGCCTACTGCCGTCCTCCGTGTGTGTGTTCGTAGTATTTTTGTCTTGGTGTGTAGCTGGTGGGTTGTGGTGTGAAGCGGGTCGAACTGATCAAGTAATAGACTCGATTCGTTCGACCAATCTCAGAAATCCCATGTGCGGTATTACTGAGATCTGCTTTCCTACCAGGCACCGCCGATATGGTAAAATGGAGGCGGTGCCCAACAGGGCGGGTGAGGTTTGGGAGAGAAAAATTGAATTACCACAGCACAAGTGGGTGAATTCAATCTCAGTCGATAAACTGGGCATCATTGCCTCGGCGCATCGACAACAACTTTTGACGGTCAAAGGCCGTTTGGCCTTCGTCCGTCTGTAACACAATTTAGTCAAAGAGATCCAACAGTGTGCCTACGGTCTACGTTGGACTATCTAAGATAGCCTACTGCCGTCCTCCGTGTGTGTGTTCGTAGTATTTTTGTCTTGGTGTGTAGCTGGTGGATTGTGGTGTGAAGCGGGTCGAACTGATGGAGTAATAGACTCGATTCGTTCGACCAATCTCAGAAATCCCATGTGCGGTATTACTGAGATCTGCTTTCCTACCACAAGGTTGATCTAGGAGTGACCAACCCAACACCACAAGCCACTTTGAGCACTCCAAGAGACAAACAAAAAGAACGCAAAGAACACGAAAAAGGAAGAAAAACGAGACCTATGAAAAAGACATCTTCATCACTCCAGTAATGGCCTTCTGCAACATATCACCGACGCCTTGGAAGCAGTCACGTAAGTATGTGGGCACAGATGTCGGTGTTGGAATTGCTCTCTTGGAGACCATTCATTGGAAACTCCTTGATAGAAGCAGTTCGACACGTCCGATCGGACAGACGGACAAATGTCCGTTTGGTCCTTTTATTCGGGGGATTCCTATGAGTCGGTTTTGCAGGGAATCTGAAAACATGGAATTGTGCGCTTGGACTATCAAACGTCTGAGCGCCACGAAAATCCCATACTGAATCCTGCGGGAGTTTGGTACGTGGGTTTTGTACCGGCCTTTCTGGATTGCATAACATCCAGTAAAGGTTTGGGAAATTTGAGTTTTCGTGCAAGGTTTTTGCTTTGCCCATTCCATGTAGATAACAAGTCTTTTAGAATAGTTATTTCCTGTAGAGATGATTATTTCCTATTAGGCGGATCGGAGATCGCTATGGTCGGTGCCTCTGCATGACGACTTGATGGGTCGCATGTTGGCACGGCTGGTTGGCAATGATGGTTTTATGGGCCACAAAGTTGTCAATCGGTTTGGACGACGACAAGCCTGTCGCTTGTCTGATGTCTGCCAGAACCGAAATCCAACTTGTTGAAATTGCTCTCTTGGAGACCATTCATTGGAAACTCCTTGATGGAAGCAGTTCGACACGTCCGATCGGACAGACGGACAAATGTCCGTTTGGTCCGTTTTATTCGGGGGATTCCTATGAGTCGGTTTTTGCAGGGAATCTGAAAACATGGAATTGTGTGCTTGGACTATCAAATGTCTGAGCGCCACGAAAATCCCATACTGAATCCTGCGGGAGTTCAGTAAAGTTTTGGGAAATTTGAGTTTTCGTGCAAGGCTTTTGCTTTGCCCATTCCATGTAGATAACAAGTCTTTTAGAATAGTTATTTCCTGTAGAGATGATTATTTCCTATTAGGCGGATCGGAGATCGCTATGGTCGGTGCCTCTGCATGACGACTTGATGGGTCGCATGTTGGCATGAGTGGTTGGCAATGTTGGCTTTATGGGCCACAAAGTTGTCAATCGGTTTGGACGAAGACAAGCAGTCTGATGTCCGCCAGAACCGATTTCCAACATTATCTACTGCTCTCTTGGAGACCATTCATTGGAAGCTCCTTGATAGAAGCAGTTCGACACGTCCGATCGGACAGACGGACAAATGTCCGTTTGGTCCGTTTTTATTCGGGGGATTCCTATGAGTCGGTGGAATTGTGGGCAAACGTCTGAACGCCACGAAAATCCCATACTGAATCCTGCGGGAGTTCTGTATGTGGGTTTTGTACCGGCCTTTCTGGATTGCAAACATCCAGTAAAGGTTTGGGAAATTTGAGTTTTCGTGCAAGACTTTTGCTTTGCCCATTCCATGTAGATAACAAGTCTTTTAGAATAGTTATTTCCTGTAGAGATGATTATTTCCTATTAGGCGGATCGGAGATCGCTATGGTCGGTGCCTCTGCATGACGACTTGATGGGTCGCATGTTGGCATGAGTGGTTGGCAATGTTGGCTTTATGGGCCACAAAGTTGTCAATCGGTTTGGACGAAGACAAGCAGTCTGATGTCCGCCAGAACCGATTTCCAACATTATCTACTGCTCTCTTGGAGACCATTCATTGGAAGCTCCTTGATAGAAGCAGTTCGACACGTCCGATCGGACAGACGGACAAATGTCCGTTTGGTCCGTTTTTATTCGGGGGATTCCTATGAGTCGGTGGAATTGTGGGCAAACGTCTGAACGCCACGAAAATCCCATACTGAATCCTGCGGGAGTTCTGTATGTGGGTTTTGTACCGGCCTTTCTGGATTGCAAACATCCAGTAAAGGTTTGGGAAATTTGAGTTTTCGTGCAAGACTTTTGCTTTGCCCATTCCATGTAGATAACAAGTCTTTTAGAATAGTTATTTCCTGTAGAGATGATTATTTCCTATTAGGCGGATCGGAGATCGCTATGGTCGGTGCCTCTGCATGACGACTTGATGGGTCGCATGTTGGCACGGCTGGTTGGCAATGATGGTTTTATGGGCCACAAAGTTGTCAATCGGTTTGGACGACGACAAGCCTGTCGCTTGTCTGATGTCTGCCAGAACCGAAATCCAACTTGTTGAAATTGCTCTCTTGGAGACCATTCATTGGAAACTCCTTGATGGAAGCAGTTCGACACGTCCGATCGGACAGACGGACAAATGTCCGTTTGGTCCGTTTTATTCGGGGGATTCCTATGAGTCGGTTTTTGCAGGGAATCTGAAAACATGGAATTGTGTGCTTGGACTATCAAATGTCTGAGCGCCACGAAAATCCCATACTGAATCCTGCGGGAGTTCAGTAAAGTTTTGGGAAATTTGAGTTTTCGTGCAAGGCTTTTGCTTTGCCCATTCCATGTAGATAACAAGTCTTTTAGAATAGTTATTTCCTGTAGAGATGATTATTTCCTATTAGGCGGATCGGAGATCGCTATGGACGGTGCCTCTGCATGATGGGTCGCATGCTGGCACGGCTGGTTGGCAATCATGGCTTGATGGGCCACAACGTTGTCAATCGGTTTGGACGAAGACAAGCAGTCTGATGTCCGCCAGAACCGATTTCCAACTTTATCTACATGTTGAAATTGCTCTCTTGGAGACCATTCATTGGAAACTCCTTGATGGAAGCAGTTCGACACGTCCGATCGGACAGACGGACAAATGTCCGTTTGGTCCGTTTTATTCGGGGGATTCCTATGAGTCGGTTTTTGCAGGGAATCTGAAAACATGGAATTGTGTGCTTGGACTATCAAATGTCTGAGCGCCACGAAAATCCCATACTGAATCCTGCGGGAGTTCAGTAAAGTTTTGGGAAATTTGAGTTTTCGTGCAAGGCTTTTGCTTTGCCCATTCCATGTAGATAACAAGTCTTTTAGAATAGTTATTTCCTGTAGAGATGATTATTTCCTATTAGGCGGATCGGAGATCGCTATGGACGGTGCCTCTGCATGATGGGTCGCATGCTGGCACGGCTGGTTGGCAATCATGGCTTGATGGGCCACAACGTTGTCAATCGGTTTGGACGAAGACAAGCAGTCTGATGTCCGCCAGAACCGATTTCCAACTTTATCTACATGTTGAAATTGCTCTCTTGGAGACCATTCATTGGAAACTCCTTGATGGAAGCAGTTCGACACGTCCGATCGGACAGACGGACAAATGTCCGTTTGGTCCGTTTTATTCGGGGGATTCCTATGAGTCGGTTTTTGCAGGGAATCTGAAAACATGGAATTGTGTGCTTGGACTATCAAATGTCTGAGCGCCACGAAAATCCCATACTGAATCCTGCGGGAGTTCAGTAAAGTTTTGGGAAATTTGAGTTTTCGTGCAAGGCTTTTGCTTTGCCCATTCCATGTAGATAACAAGTCTTTTAGAATAGTTATTTCCTGTAGAGATGATTATTTCCTATTAGGCGGATCGGAGATCGCTATGGACGGTGCCTCTGCATGATGGGTCGCATGCTGGCACGGCTGGTTGGCAATCATGGCTTGAT